TCATTGGGCACTCAGACGCTTCTTGGGTTGACGACCAGGCTACGCAGCGGTCGTCACAGGGTTACACCTTCAGTCTTGGCTCTGGTTCGGTTTCTTGGCGTTCTACGCGCCCGTCTTCAGTTCTCAACTCCAGTTGTGAGGCTGAGATCTACGCCACAGCCATGGCTGCACAGGAGTTACGCTGGCTCACCTACCTGCTGACCGACTTGTCAGAGGTCCACTGGTGATCCCCGATTGATCCTAGGGAAGGGTTACAGGCTCTTTGTCCTGGGGGGTTATGGGCGCACTGACCCGCTACTTAACAAGCCCTTTTATCCCAATGGTCTAGTGGTTGGGATTCTGACATGGTATCAGAGCGAAGGTCTCGGGTTCGAATCCCAGTGTGTGCACTTCGGGCATCCCAGTGCGGGGGGGTGTCAGAGGTCCACTGGTGATCCCCGATTGATCCTAGGGAAGGGTTACAGGCTCTTTGTCCTGGGGGGTTATGGGCGCACTGACCCGCTACTTAACAAGCCCTTTTATCCCAATGGTCTAGTGGTTGGGATTCTGACACGACTTGGGAGAGCGGCCTCGTTCTCCTCCAGTGTTGTACGTCGACAACAAGGCCGCCATTGCCTTGTGTTATGAGCACAGACTGGAGCACAGAACGAAGCACATTGCTCTGCGTTACTTCCTGGCTCGAGAGTTGCAGCAGCGTGGTCAGCTTCGTCTTGCTCACGTGGCCACTCGGGCCAACACTGCTGATATATTCACCAAGGCGCTTCCGTCTGGTGATCATCAGCGTTTCTGCACTCTGTTAGGCCTTGTGCCCACGTTTCCTCCCTTGCTGTAGACTTTGCTTGTACTGTGATCTATATATATACCTGCATGCTTGCTCTGCTATGTAGAGATCACTGTGCTGTTGTTGTTGCATATATACTCCTGCATGTGAACTGGCCTTGTGGCCCTTTGCTTGTGCTCATTGTGTGTGGTGACGTTGTGATCCACCCTGAGCTTGCTTTGCTTCTCTTGCTCTCCCCACTTTGCCTATGGGGGTGTGTCAAAGCATATGCTTGCTATACATGTGTAGGCTGTAGTGGGGTAGCCAATATGGGGTACAGCCCCTTTTAGGGTTTCATACTTGTACCCAACTCTGCCATAGTTCATTCATTCCTGCCTCTTGATTCTGACATTACCGGTATGACCTTTGGCCAGATCAGGTTGATGGGTTGTATGATTCAATGCACCGTGGTGTAGGTTTGGTGCAGGATGAACGTTGGGAGTTTTGACAGGACTTTGTACATACCGTAAGATAGTGGACAGGGGCGCTCAGGTCTCAGCATAAGGAGGTTGATTTGGTTCTTTTCTTTTCTGACCTGGCGGATTTAGTGTGTACCTAGGTCGTATCCCTGGCTAGTGTCAAGAGTGGTTAGTGTCATGACACTATCTCGAAAAACGCATGGAGGACTAGTCCTCCTGGTGTCAGCTAAACCGACCAATCTGATTGCGGGAAATTGCCCAATGTGCCCAACATTGACACCAGGCTGGAGCCGCGTGCGGGCGCGGCTTCACCTGGTGTCAAGCGAATTTCCGGCTTGACACCAACAGTATCTCGACACTAGCCAGGGATACGACCCTAGTCAGACCCGGCGGATTTTCAGGAGGAAATTGGGAGATTGGTATCAGCGTACTTATACCTAACTCATGAAGCGTAATAAATTCGCCATAGTCGGCATGCGCTGAGCTTCAATCAGGACGAGTGATATTGTTAGCCCAACAGATGAAGTGTGGTTAAGTTAGTCTTGAAAGTTTTGTTACGGGTATTGTTGTTGTTCATAGCGCGTCTGCTATTGTTGAGGACATCGTTTCTGCTCTTGAAGTTTTTTGACGAGCGGCATGCAAGCCATGCATATGCCCACACATAACCACGCCCGTTCTCACGTTCATGCCCACATCTCGACCGCGCGCCTCGACCTCACGCCTTTTCCTCGCCCAGGACGTAGGAGCTCTGAAGCATACTTACTATCTTACCTAGTAGGTGTAGAGAGGCACCCAAATGGAGTTCGCCATTAGTCTGATTATTCCCAGTTCCAGCACTTTGTGTCATCATTTTGAACTCTCAAGCACGCATCGTCGTCTCTCAAGCAAGCCATGGAGGCTTTAGACGGGCCGGTGCTGTTTCGTGTCGCGGAATTTACCGGCGATGCGGTTACCACCATCGCGAACATCGCCTCCGTCTCCCGCGCCTTCGCTCGTGTCGCCCGCTCGGAGCTGTGGCCGCGTTACTGCCTCGCGCGCGCCGCGCTTGCGGAAGTCGGCGAGGCGGCGGCGGTAGCGGCTGTGGCGGCGCGGCTGGTGCGCGAGGCGGGCAGCGCCGATGCGCCGCGAAACGCGGCGAGCAGCCTGGCGCGCTGCATGAGTGCGTGCCCGGGCGTGATTCGCGCCTGCTCCATCGCGCTGCGACTGAACGCGGCGGCTGAGGCGAAATCGGCCGAGGCAGAATCGGCTAATGCAGAATCTGGGCCCGAGTTGGGACGGCGGTCGCGGTGGCCCGAGGAAGACTCAACAGAATCGTGGAGCGAGACGGAGGAGGAAACCAGCGCAGACGGGGGAAGCGTGGGTGCGGGAGGCGGTAAGGGAAGTGACGACGCCAATCCCCATGTCAGCGATTCCTGTGCCCTCTGCACCGCCCTCGCCACTCAGATTTTTCTGGACGAGTGCTTCCTCCCCGCCCCTCCTTTCCACCCATCGCCGCTCTTTTTGGGCGAGGTGGAAGGGGACAAAAGGGGGGAAGCTAGGGAGGAAGATGGGGGGGAAGGGAACGAAAGGGGGAAAGTTAGGGAGGAATGAGCGCAGGAGGGCGCGGCTGTGTTGATGGCAGCAGGGGACTGTGGGCGGGAGCACGAGGCAGAGGCTGAGGATGAGGAGGAGGAGCGTTGTGAGGTGGTGCGGGGAGCGATTGCTGGGTTCAGGCACTCGCGGTAAGCCATGGTGACGTTGTTAGGACGAGTGTGAGGGTGTGGTCTCACCAGTGGGATGGGCCCACAGTGTAACGCCTGCTTTGTGCACAGTCAAAACGTAGGTGCATGTTGCCTCTCATTCATACCTCTCTCATTCATGTTGCCTGCCTGCAGATTCCACAGCCTGCTGCAAGGCCAGGCGTTTGCTGCAAGCACCTGCCCCTTCTGCCACGACCCGGTGAGATGGTTACTATGAGCTGTGCCGGGCCCTCTTATGCAAGCACACTGCTGTTTTCCCTTCGCTACTGGATGGACTGTAGGGTGTTGAAGCATGAGTTGCTATGTGATTTTGTGCGCCAACTTTCCCCGTGCCCCACCCGCACCCGCGTCCCGTCCTGCAGGCATGGAACGACACTCCCTGCTGAAACCGACGATGTTGGAGTTGATTCTGAGAACATTCAAAAGCAATTCCAACATAGCTTTCATGTACCCCTCCCGCACGTGTGCGCCGTCCTGCAGGCATGGAGCGCCACTGCTCTGCTGAAACCACAAATTGAAGGGTTGTTATTTGTTTTGGTTTTGGTTTTGGTTTCAGCCTACTCTTTTTGGCTTTGAGCGCCACCCCCACCCATGTTGTCATCTGGTCTTGAGCAGGCCTGGAGCGCCACTGCTGTGCTGAAATCTGATTCTGAGGCGCTTCAAAAACAGACGATATGGGTCTTGAGCACCAGCTTTACCTGTATCCCCTTCCCCACCCATGTTGCTATATGATCTTGAGCAGGCATGGAGCGCTACCGCTCTGCTGAAACCGACGGCTCACGTTGCGTTGGGTTGCGATGAGGGCGATGCCTGCTGCTTCATCTGCACCCAGGTTGTTCCTCAGCCTCCGGTTTCATAACTCACACTTTTCCTTGGTTTCCAGCCACCTTTGACATAATCTGTTTCAATGCAATGTATAACCTCGTTATGGCTTACTTGGCAGGGTCACTTGTTTGGACTGTACAAATCATCGTGCTCGGATGATTCTGATGAAGACAACGATTATGATGATTGGTATGATGATGACTACGACCGTTGGTCGGATGAGGTTGATGACTTGGATGATCGAATGGTCCGCCTAGGTTACTTTTGAGGCGCCTCAAAAGTCGATTATGATTGGGATGACTATGACCGTTGGTCGGATGAGGTTGATGGTTTAGATGATCGAATGTACTGTCGTCTAGGTGTGGTGCAGGATGAGCGTTGGGATTTTTGACAGGACTTGTATGTGAGATGGTGGACAGGTAATCAGATATCAGTGTAAGAAGCCTGATATGCTGATCTTTAGGGTGATGTGTGTTAGGTATGTACATACCTAAGGTCAATCCACAATGAAAATGGGTGTGTTACAAAAATCAGCCAAGACAGCTTACCGGAGGGTGGTATTGCATCTCGGAGATTAAGATGTAATTTGTCTTTCACCCATTTGCCTCTGGATTGAACCACTTTGAACTCCTAACCGACAGCCACAGCAGCGGCCCTGAGCTGCTGCTCCAATGCTCCCTTGCGTGCCTCTGCCTCTGCCAGCTCAGTCTGCCCCTGCCTTTCCTGTTCAGCCTACTCAACCGCATTCAAACCTACATGAATTCATCCAACTCCTAACGAGCTGCCTTGAGCTTGCGCTGAGCTTCAATCAGGTTTGCGGATGGACAGTGGTTAAGTTAGCTTTAGCGTTTTATTGCGGTTGTTGTTATCGGTGATAGCGCGTCTGCCGTTGGTAAAGCTGCAGTATACATTTGTCAGCCGGGTTTCGGGTTTTTATTGTGTGCCTCACAGCTTTGGGGCAACTTTTCAAGATTTCCGACGAGTGGCACAGCATAGCATGCAATGTAACCATGCCCATTTCTCAAGCTCACGCCCACCTCTCGACCACGCGCCTCGACCTCACGCCTATTTCTCGCCCAGGACGTAGGAATTCCGAGACATACTTCGGCGTAGAGAGGCCCACAATGGACTCGCCGTTAGTCTCACTGCCACCACTGGCAGCAATTTGTGTCATCATCTTCATCTCTCTAGCAAGCCATGGAAGCCTTAGACGGGCCGGTGTTGTTTCGTGTGGCGGACGCTACCGGCGATGCTGTTACCACCATCGCCAACGTCGCCTCCGTCTCCCGCGCCTTCGCCCGTGTCGCCCGCTCGGAGCTGTGGCCGTGTTACTGCCTCGCGCGCGCCGCGCTTGCGGAAGACGGCGAGGCGGCGGCGGTGGCGGCGGTGGCGGAGCGCTTGGTGCGCGAAGCGGGCAGCGCCGATGCGCCGCGAAACGCGGCGAGCAGCCTGGCGCGGTGCATGAGTGCGTGCCCGGGCGTGATTCGCGCCTGCTCCATCGCGCTGCGACTGAACGCGGCTGCTGAGGCAAAATCGGCCGACGCAGAATCGGGTGAGGCAGAATCGGGTGAGGCAGAACCGGGCGAGGCAGAACCGGGCGAGGCAGAACCGGGCGAGGCAGAACCGGGCGAGGCAGAACCGGGCGAGGCAGAACCGGGTGAGGCAGGATCTGGGCCCGAGTCGGGACGGTGGTCGCGGTCGTCCGCGGAAGACTCAACAGAATCGCGGAGCGAGACGGAGGAGGACAGCGGCGCAGACAGGGGAAGCGTGGGTGCGGGAGGCGGTAAGGGAAGTGACGACGCCAATCCCCATGTCAGCGATTCCTGTGCCCTCTCCTCCTCCCTGGCCACTCGGCTTTTTCTGGACGAATGCTTCCTCCCCGCCCCTCCTTTCGGCCCATCGCCGCTCTTTTTGGGTGGGGTGGAAGGGGACAAAAGGGGGAAAGCTAGGGAGGAAGATGGGGGGGAAGGAGCGCATGAGGGCGCGGCTGTGTTGATGGCAGCAGGGCGCTGTGGGCGGGAGCATGAGGCTGAGGGAATCCGTTGTCATGAGGTGTGGGGAGCGATTGCTGGGTTCAAGCACTCGCGGTGAGCCATGGTGAAGTTGTTGGGTGGACGGGTGGTTGTAGGTGGTTGCTGCACCTGGTGGCTGGCACGGGTGTGAGGGTATGATCTCACCAGTGGGATTTTTATTCGACTCAAAAGCACAAGTGTGAGGGGATGATCTCACCAGTAGGATAGCCCACAGAGTAACACCTTTTTTCTGCACAGTCAAAATATAGGTGTATGTTGTGACTCGTTCCTCTCTCCCAATGCTTGGCTGCAGTTTTCACAGTCTGCTGCAAGGCCAGCCGGTTGCTCCAGACGAATGCCTCTTCTGCCATGACCAGGTGAGATGGTTACTAGGATTTGTGCCGAGCCCTCTTATGCAAGTACAGTGCTGTTTTTTTGTTGTTACTAGACTGGAGTGTTGGTGCTTCAAGCGCATGCCCCTTGTGCCATGACCAGGTGAGACGCTCAGGTCTTAGAAGCTGTGTTGTGCCATCTTATGCCAGCACAGTGCTGTTTCTCCTTAGCTACTGAAAGGGGGTGCTGGTTGTTCCAGCATGTCAGGTGTTCAAACATGAATTGTTATCTGATCTTCAGTACTCCTGTTCTTCTATGATCTTGAGCAGGCATGGAGCGCCGCTGCTCTGTTGAAACCGACGGCTCACGATGCGTTGGGTTGCACTGAGGGCAATGCCTGCTGCTTCATCTGCACCCAGGTTGTTCCTCAGCCTCCAGTTGGGTTGTTCCGTAGCTCACACTTTGATATAAGCTGTTCTGATGCAATGTTTAACTTCTTCGTGGCTTGTTTGGCAGGGTCACTTGTTTGGACTGTACAAGCCCTATTCAGGGCTTGAGAAATTTTCCCGGGGTTTAACAGAATCTGTTTTGGCTGAAATTTTACCGATCATTGAGGAATTCTGCAGCACTTTAACAGATTCTGATTATGCTGATGCTCTAAGTGATATGTGGTAGGTATCATATGTACCTAGTCTGCCCTGCTCCGTCTTAAGGACCAGTTAGAGACCTTAAGGAGGTATTGTCGTTCACAAGAAAAAGTAAAACATTCCTAGTGCAGTCCTATTGAGCCTGCCTCATATCCATCCATCCAGCCTCTAGAAAGGAGCCACAGCAGCAGCAGCTCTGACCTGCTCCTCCATGGCAATTGCTTGCCCCTACCTCTGCCTTTCCTGTTTACCCTGTTGCACCGCACTCAACCGCATTCAACTCCTAGCGAGCAGCCACAGCAGCGGCCCTGAGCTGCTGCTCCAGAGCTCCCTTGCGCGTCTCTGCCTCTGCCAGCTCTGTCTGGAGCGCCCTGTGGTCCTCTAGCAGGGCAGCCTATTATTGGAGTGGTTGGGTGTTGGGGGATGGAAGTTGGGGGTTTGCAGTTGAATGGAAATTGCCTCTGCCTCTGTCCAAAGCACCCTTACATGCCTCTGCCTCTGCCTCTGCCAGCTGTGTCTGGAGCGCGCGGTGGTCCTCTAACAGGGCAGCCTTTAAGGGGTACGGACAACATTGGGGGTGGTTGGGAATCAGGGCTTTGAGATTACAATGGAAAATAATATATCTTTGGGAGGAGGGTGCAGGGTGGTGTGCCCCTGCCTCTGACAGCCAGCTCTATCTGGTCTGGAGAGCCCTGTGGTCCTCTAGCAGGGCAGCCTATAAGGGGAACAAACGGTATTGGGAATAGTTTGAGATGAAGGGCTTGAAAATTGGAGATCTTGGGTGGAGGATGGAGGAGGAAAAAATGCCTCTCTGCCAGCTCTGTCCGTAACGTCCTATGGTCCTCTAACAGAGCAGCCTGTAAATGGGACGAACAGAATTGGGGATGGTTAACAGTTGGGGAGTGGAATATAAAATAGTGTCTAGGGTAGAAGGTGCAGGGCAGCATTCCTCTGCAAAAGCGTCCTGTGGTCCTTTAACAGGGCAGCCAATAAAGCAGAGAGACAATGTTGGGACGGTTGGAAGTCGGGGCGGGAGTTGGGGTGGGATGGGATTGGAATGAAATGGTTCTTTGGAATCTCAAATACTGGGAGCACTGGAGAGTCGCTCACTCTTCGTGCTGCAATGCCACCCTCTCTCTCTCCTGCTCTCTGCATCTCTGCTCCCTCTGCCAGCTCTCTCATCAAACCCCCCACTCACCTTCACCACCAGCTGCTCTCTCTGAATCTCCCTCCTCCTCCCCCTCTGTGCCAACACCCTCTCTTTCAACTGCCCCACCGCTGCCTCTGCCTCTCTGCTCTCTGCCTCCTCTAATTCCTCTACTTCTCTACCCTCCTAGTGCTTGCTTGCCTCTACCCCTCAAAACAGAACCATCACTCACCTTCACCAGCAGCAGCTCTCTCTGAATCTCCCTCTTCCTCCCCCTCTGTGCCGCCACCCTTTCTTTCAACTGCCCCACCGCCGCCTCTCTCCCTCTGCCCTCTAGTGTCTGCCTCTTAAGAAGCATGCACAACGGAATGATGAACTAGAAACAGGATGGGGTACAAATATGCAAACTTAAAAGTTGTACCCCCTAGAGGGCACCTCACTACAGCATATACCACATATTATATATTTGACACACCCCCATAGGCTAAGTGAGGGGCATCAAAACAAGCATGGTGAACAAACGGTCACAAGACCAGTCAATGCAAGAAGCAAAGCAAGCTCATGGTGGATCTCAAGGACACCACACAAATTCCGAGCACAAGCAAGCGACCACAAGGCCAGTTCAAGAGTTCACTATGATATATATAGCAAAGCACAACAAGCAGAGCAAACAACAAGTCTACAGCAACCGAGGGCCTACCTCAACAAGCCCCAACTGCACACAGAACCTGTGGTGGTCACCAGGCGCCAAGGCCTTGGTGAAGACGTCGGCAATGTTGGCCTTTGAGGCCACAAAGTCCAAGCGTGCCTGGCCACGTTGCTGCAACTCTCGCAGGAGGAAGTACCTCACGTCAATATGCTTCACTCTGCTCTCCAGTCGAGGCTCTCGACACAGGAGGATCATGGCCTTGTTGTCAGCGTACAAGGTCGGTGCAGAGCGAGGCCGCTCACCAAGGTCGGCGAGCAAGAAGGTCAACCAGCGAAGCTCCTGTGCCGCCATGGCACCAGCGTATATCTCTGCCTCTGCACTGGACGTAGCCACAGACGACGACCGTGTAGACCTCCACGACATAGCACCAGCACCCAGACTGAAGCAGTAACCCTGAGTCGAGCGGTGAGTCTCCACGTCGTCAGTGTAGGAAGAGTCGCAGTGACCGGTCAACACAACTGGCTGTGTCCCTCCAAGCACAAGCCACATGCCTGATGTAGTCGCCAGGTACTTCGCCACCCTCACAGCAGCTGTCCAGTGAACTCGACGGTATCTCCCAGTCGCAACAAAGCGAGAGAGGACGCTGAGGGGAAAGGCGAGGCCCGGCCGAGTACAAGTCATCAGGTACATGAGGCAGCCCACAAGCTCTGCGTAGGGGCCACTAGACTCAAAGGGCTCGTCGGGAAAAGGGCAAGTGAGTCGATGGTCAACGTCAAGAGGAGTGGGCTGTGTGGTGGAGAACTGAAACCCGAACCGCCGAAGGACCTGCTGCACCATGTGTGACTGAGTTAGTGTGATGGTGCGAGCAGTTCTGTGTTACAAGACTAACTGAACTGGTAACCGGGTTTAAGGAGGGCCTAGGCTTAGTAGCCTAGGCCAAGCAAGTGTCGAGGTCAAGGCCAAGTGAGTGTCGAGAGAATTTACCAAACAAGTGAGCTTCACTAAAAGCAAAGCATACAAGATATAGTCAAGAAACTAGGAAACAAGAGGTGCACCACCAACTGCAAAGAACAATAACTACAGTAACTACAGCAAGCAGGATATATCTTAAATATAACTTTGACACACCCCCTTAGCCTGCTTGCAGTAGGAACTAGTGTAGTCAACACCCCCTGAAGGGGTATAGCTGGCGCAGTGGAAGACGGCAGAGAGGAAAGTGAGGAGGAGGAGGCGAGAAAGAGAGAGAGGAGAGGAGAGGAGATAAGAACAAAGGAGGAGGTGATTGAGGGATGAGGAGAGGAGGTGGGGGTTGGCCGCAACGTCCCCTCTTACTAACCCCCTTTTACGAAGGGGAGGCCGCAGCGTGGCGTGGGGGGGTTGAGTGGGGGATGAGGAGAGGAGGTGGGGGGGTGGCCGCAGCGTCCCCTCTTACTAACCCCCACATCCCCACCCCCAATCAACCAACCCCCTTTAACCTCACCCCCCATTTCAACCGCCCCCTGGAACCGCTCTCCCTCCCCCCTTTTCTTCCTCCATACCCCTCCCCACCCACGATGATCCCTGTACAGTCCTTCACAGGTGGGGCTGCTGGTCACAAGTGGGGCTGCTGGTCACAAGTGGGGCTGCTGGTCACAGGTGGGGCTACTAGTCACAGGTGGGGCTGCTGGTCACAGGTGGAGCTGCTAGTCACAGGTGGGGCTGCTGGTCACAGGTGGGGCTGCTGGTCCTGGTGTTACGGCGCTGGTGCTGGTGCCTGGTGCTGGCGTGACGGCGCTGGTGCCGGTGCCTGGTGCTGGCGTGACGGCGCTGGTGCCGGTGCCTGGTGCTGGCGTGACGGCGCTGGTGCTGGTGCATGGTGCTGATGGGGCGCGACGGGTGGGACGAACTGCAGACGGGCTACAGGCTGGGCGGGATCTGACGGTAGGAGGCGCGCAAGCGCTGGTGCGATCGCCGGTGCGCTGGCGGTGATCGCTGGTGTTCCGCCGCCACTCCCTTCCCCCTTTTCCTCTCTCCCCCACAGCATTCCGCCGCCACTCCCTTCCCCCTTTCCCTCTCCCCCCCACAGCGTTCCGCCGCCAATCCCTTCCCCTCCTCCCTCTCCCACCCACAGCGACCGCCGCTGCACATGCGAACAGTCGCGATGGGGGGGGTGACGGGCAGGGGGCCGGGGGAATGCGACGGGCGGAGCGAGGCGACGGGAGGGAAGAAAACGGGACGGGGGGGGGGGGGGGGGGGGGGGGGGGAAGGGCCGCGACGACCGCCACGGACGCCGTCCCCTTCATTCCCGATGCCCCCCCCCCCCCCCCCCCCCCCCCCCCTTCCCCACTCTCGCGCAAACTCGGCAGCAGGCGTAGGCGCGGGCAGAGGTGGTGACGGGGGGGAAACGCGACGGGCTGACGACGAGGGAAACGCGGCGGGCTGGTGACGGGGGGAACGCGACGGGCTGGCGACGGGCAGGCGACGAGACGGGCTGGCGACGAGGGAAACGCGGCCGGATCGCCACCGCGCCCTTCGCAGCGAACGCCGTGCTGCGAATGGGTGGGCCCATTAACTTAGGTCAGGAATTTAATAGCTCAATACCATGTTACAAGACTAACTGAACTGGTAACCGGGTTTATGGAGGGCCTAGGCTTAGTAGCCTAGGCCAAGCAAGTGTCGAGGTCAAGGCCAAGTGAGTGTCAAGAGAATTGACCAAACAAGTGAGCTTCACTAAAAGCAAAGCATACAAGAGATAGTCGAGAAACTAGGAAACAAAAGGTGCACCACCAACTGCAAAGAACAATAACTACAGTAACTACAGCAAGCAGGATATATCTTAAATATGACTTTGACATTCTGTCCGTGGTGATCTGCAGCCCAAGGTAGCGCTGCAGTTCACCGAGGTCAGTGCACTTGTGTCTCTTCTGCAGTTCGGATTTCACCTCAGTCAGAGCTGCCCTGTCTGCTGTAGAAAAGACCAAGTCGTCGACGTACACTAGTATAAAGAAAGGAGTGGAACCAGTGCGAACAAACAGCGACGGGTCAGCAGAGGAAGGACGAAACCCAATGTCACGAAGCGTGGAGCGAAAAAGTGTCGTGCCACTCACGGGGCAACTAGCGGAGACCATAGACTGGCCGCCTCAGGCTCCACTGGGTCCCAGGTGGGAAGGTGCCAGTGAAGCCAGGAGGACGGCGCAGCCATATCTCCTCGTGTAGTCGGCCCTGGAGAAACGCAGTGGAGAAGTCAAGGGAGTGCAGCTCATAGTCTCGCTGTGCTGCTACGTGCAGTAACACCCTAAGAGTAGTCATCTTCAGGGTCGGGGCGAAGGTCTGGAAGATGTCAACTCCCTCACGCTGACTGAACACAGGCGGTGAACCAAGCGGCCGCTTCACCTTGAAGAGCAACATGCCATCGACAACATTCGCCCTGGGAGGGGAAACTGCGTCGACGTACGTGCCTGTGGATCTCCAAGACGCTAACTCTGCGTCCTTAGCCGCTTTCCACTGAGAGGCCCACTTCCCTGACACTGCCTCACGGTACGTGCGAGGTGTCGGTATGTCAAGGGCGTCGGGGTCTCCCTCAAGGGAAAGCAGCATGGCGCAGAGAGAGGGGGAAGTGGTTGCTAAGAACTCCAGCTCAAACTGCCTGTCCTCTAGGACGTCACAGCCAAGGGCCGACTCACCCCCGACGGACAGAGGACGGGAAGGTGGAGCAGCCACCACACGCGTGGCGTAGTCAAGACGGCGGGTGGAAGCAAAGTCAGCGACAGCGGCAGTAAGAGCCGAGACAGACGACGGAGAGGCACAAGGGTCGGTGACAAGAGAGGCGAGGACACGAGAGACAACAGGGCGAGCAGCACGGTAGTAGTCAGTGATAGGGTGAGAGGCGACTCAGGAGGTGAGGGGAGAACAGACACAGGCGGAGAACGACGAGGAGGAGAACGAAACAAGACAGTGCGGAGGTCGGGAAGAGGAGACGAGGGCCGAGCACGTGGAGGACAAGGACTGGTCCAGTCGTGCGGGACAACATGAGGAGACGACCGTGACTGAGAATAGCCGGAGTCGAGTCCGGAGGAGGAAACGTAGGACCGTACGCAGTAGGTGACTGGGAGTGGACAGGAGGAGAGGAAGGAAGACTAAGGGCCCGAAGGCCACTCAATGGAGGGAAAAGCTGCTGCAAAGGTGGCGGCTGCGGCGTCTGCTGCTGCTGCTGCTGCAAAGGTGGTTGCTGCTGCTGCTGCTGCTGCTGCTGCTGCTGCTGGTGCTGCTGCTGCTGGTCTAACTGCTGCAGCTCCTGCCTCTCCTGCTCCACCCGCTCCTACTCCTCGCGCTCAAGCCGGCGAAGGGCCTGGAAACGGGTGTCGTGGCGGTGGGGACGTGCAGTGGGCGACGCAGTAGGCGAGCCTCCAGCTCCCGTCTCCTCAATACCAGCTCCTACAGTGCCAGCACCTCCTGCTCCAGCACCCCCAGAACTAGCACTGCCAGTGCCAGCACCTCCAGCTCCAGCACCCCTAGAACTAGCACCTCCACTGCCAGCACCTCCAGCTCCAGCACCCCCAGAACTAGCACCTCCAGTGCCAGCACCTCCAGCTTCAGCACCCCAGAAACTAGCACCTCCAGTGCCATAACCTCCAGCTCCAGCACCCCCAGAGCCAGCGCCACATGCGCCATCACCTCCAGCTCCAGCACCCCTCGAACGAGCACCCCCAGACCGAGTACCGCCAGTGGCTGCACCTCCAGCTCCAACACCAACCGAGTCCACAGTAACCTATCGCGGAAGTGCCGAGGGCTGCTGAGGGGACTGTGAGGAGGACTGCGGGGAGGGAGACGCTACCTGACACGCGACCGAGGGTAGAGGGGTAGCGTGAGACACACCGGACGGGGCAGGACCAAGGGGGGATGGGGGTACTGGAGGAGCGGGAGCAGGGGGAAGAGAGGGTGCGAGGAAGAGGGGGGGAAGGGGAACCGGGAGACCTCGACTAGGGTACTTAGTGTAGTAGGACACTGACTCGTCAAACTAGACGTCACGAGAGTCTAGAAATTGGTTGAGGGGCGAGTGGTAAAAGTAGTCGGGAGAGCCCACCGGGAAACCAAGGAAGACACAAGGGATGGCGCGAGCCGAGAGCTTGTCCGCAGAGGTGTCGCGGACAAGCGCAAGGCAGCCCCAGACGTGAAAGGCCGACCCAACACCAGGGGACCCAGTCCACAGACTGGTCGGTGAAACCTGTGGCCGCGAGACACGCTGCTGGAGGTTCAGCTGGTGCGCGGCGTAGCGCAGCGCGTAGGGCCACAGAAAATGGGGGGCACAGGCATGGATCATGGACGTGCGGGCGATGTCCATGACCAAGCCAATGCGACACTCAGCAACCCCATTCTGCTGTAAGGACTCCGGCAGCGTCCAGGACTGTCTGATGCCCTACTCGCCGCAGAACCCGGCAAGGATGCCAGAGCGAAACTCACCCCCACGGTCGGAGTGGAGACAACGGACACGACTACCACGAGTGCCCTCAGTGGCCAGAAGCCACCGGATTAGCGTAGAAGTCACCTCGGACTTCTTCGTGAGAGGAAACACCGTGGTGTACCTGGAGTAATCGTCAATTACCACTAGAAAGTAGCGCTCCCTCTCAGGTCCCAGCGTAGGGGCAGGGCCCCAGACGTCCAGGTGGAGAGTCTGGAAGGGAGCAGTGGCCGGACGAAGGGAGGAGGAGTGCGGAGTGGCGCACAGGTGGCCGGCGACGCAAGGAGTGCAGGGTGGGGCAAGCGAGGGAGGGAGCGACGGAAAGACGCGCGGGAGACCTGAGACAAGACTGTGACTGGCCATGCTACGGAGGCGGGGGAGCGACAGGTGGCCAAGGCGGTGGTGCCACAAGACGGTTTGGTGGGCTAGGGACTGACAGGAGCAAGACGCAGCAACCTGACCAGACACCTCTACCTGACCAGGCACAGCAGCCGGACTAGACACTGGGACCTGAGGGGGCGCAGCGACCTGAGCGGAGGAAGCAACCGGGGAGTGCTCGGTGTGGAGAACGTAGAGACCAGAGCAGGACTCCCTGGTGAACGTGGCCATAACAGCACCTGTAGCAGAGTCTGTACAGACCGCAGTCCTGCCACCCCCCACAAAGGTAACGGTGATCCCCCTGTCCTGGAGGTATCCAACACCCACCAGGTTCCGAGTGAACGAGGGGATGTGGAGGCCGCGCAGGACACCAGAGGGGACCACAGGGCACGGGAGGGTGGTGGAGCTGCGCGCAACGGCTGGTCCTGAAGAAGGATCAGCCAGAGCTACCGGAACCGGAGCAAGGAGTGGTGTGAGGGTCGTGTGGTCGCGGAAGAAACACTGCGACGCGCCAGAGTTCAGCGTGAACGACAGAGACGCCTCAGCAGGAGGCGTGTCAGGTCCGGAGGCTACACAAGCACCTAGAGCAGAAACACAAGCACCTAGACTAGAGAGGCACAGGTCTACACTAACAGGAGGCAAGCATCGTAGACTACGAACACGCGAGCACACAGATCCATCAGCATTATAGTCAACATCAGCATACAAAGCATACTGACGAGCGTCGTCCATAGACAGTTCAAATACAGGAATCTTACGGGCTAGCAGGCGAGCCCAGCGCGGGGTGGTCGCCTCAGGACCCTAGCGTGCACGGTAGAGGTCGTCGAGGCGGCGGAAGCACCGCGCCGCTGAGTGGTCGTCCCGGCCGCAGACACAGGGAGTGCCCGGTCCGGTGACGCACCAGTGGTCGCAGGGGCCGGTGTCGCGCCGCGGGGGGCGAGGGGCCCAGCTGGTAGTGCTGCTGCTGCGGCCAGTGCTCCCGGGTCCTGCAGGTCCGCACTGTGGCGGAGGGCTCCAGTGCTGTTGCGGACCCCACTGCAGTGGTGGTCCCCACGACTAAAAATGCTGTGGTGCCTGCCACTGATGCTGTCCCTGCTGCTGCTGCTGTCTCTGCTGTGGCTGCTGCTGATGTGGCTGCTGCTGCTGGGGCCCC